AGCAATTCAACACTATCACAACAATTGTTAATCTGTTCATAACAAACACTAACAGTTCAACACTATCACAACAATCGTTAATCTGTTCATAACAAACATTAACAATTCAACACTATCACAACAATCGTTAATCTGTTCATAACAAACATTAACAATTCAACTCTATCACAACAATCGTTAATCTGTTCATAACAAACATTAGCAATTCAACACTATCACAACAATCGTTAAACATTAACAGTTTTGTACTGTCGTCAAAATAGCAACAAGGCTGCGTTTGGATAGCAATATACCGCTCATATAATGCATTTTCTGATAATATGTAAGAGGTGACACAATTACATACAAATAAACGAACTGTACAGGCCTTCCTAATCAAGCCGCTGTAAATTAAGAAAGTTACAACAATAACGAGAGAAAAAAAAAACACCAAAAAAGAAATAAACTTCGGTCCAAAGAAGTTTTCCAATATAACGAACTCTTTTATGTCACTTCAGGTTTTTATTACTCTCATGTTCGTGTGATACTTTATGACTTTGTCAGTTCAGTATTTTCATATTATGCCTACATTCTTATGTTTTTCATGACACGATGTGATTTCGTTTGTCACTTCTGGATTTTCATATTCTACCACCATTTGTATGTTTATGTGACACAAGTTTTGACTGCCGATTCATGATTTCTATATTCTGTTCAATTCTTATGCTCACGTGATACATCATGTTTTGACTTTGTCATTTCAGGATGTTTTAATGTTAACATGACATGATTTGACTTTATCCAATATTCGTGGGATTGTTTCTCGCGAACTCAGTCTTCCCGCAGTTTTGAAGTTACAAAGAACAAACTTGGTAAGCTGATTTGGAGTGTTTCTATGTATATGGTGTACCGCCCCCCCCCCCCCACCTAGGGAGGTATCAATGGGGCTACAACACGCCCGTAAGGTTACCCAAACGTGATGGTGGTCAAGGAGTAGATTTTTCAGGGTGTTGAAACCGAATCTGGCATGGGATTTTGAATTCCCTCCCTCCGGAATCTTGGGGCGCCTTATTTGAAACTGTATTTATAACCTTAGTCACATGCTAGCGGGATCAAACATGGTACACGTGCTCAAGTACCACAGGTGGGTGTCCTGGCGTTTTTATTTTTTACTAGTAGTAACACCTTTGGGGTAGCTATAGAGGTATTTGGGGAAATGGAGGAGCTTGATCGGTATTAGAACCTCTGTGAATATTGAGGTGGGGACTATGAAATCCGCAACAGAGCGCGGGAATTTTATGCTAGTCACTAAAAAGCTATAATTTATATTTCCGTTGACTTGCATATTGCACAACCGAGAGAAGTTCCACATTCCTGCATATGATACTTTATAAACACCCATATGAATAGAACGATTAGAAAAAAACAGGTGGTTGTAACATCATGTAACAGATGGACACTTTATAAAAGCTTATAAAACAACAGAATCAAACTTATAAAATAAATTACACTGCAAAATTACTATTCAAAAATAGACATATTTAACTTACAAATATTGATTTACCATTAATTTTAAATACTTGTACATGTATCTATAATTACCTGATTGGTGGAGATAATGTAACGTCAGCAACTACACGATTCAGAGTAATGAACATGCCTTTCAAAGATAATAAAGAATTCTCGTTGCTAGGGTACTGGTATAATACGTCATTCTTTGAAGAAAACAAAATAAACACACAAATATATATATATATATATATATACGAAACACAATAAACAGCAAACAATGGAATTAACTGAACTGTATAGTTGGCTTATCTGAATAAACAGAACCAGAGTTAAAGTGGATGATTTGAATACGTTACATACAGGTTATTCCCACTAAAAATTACAGGCTATTTGTGGAGAGCCAAATACTGTTAAAGTAAACAACACATTTGCTAAGTATTGATTTTATACATATTTAACCCCAAAACAGTGAGTCGATCGTACAAAGAAATTCAGTTAAGCCAATTTCACATATAAAGTTTTGCATATGCTTAGAGTTCGATCTCTTGCTTCGAAAAACACAATTAAACTCCCAAAACGTTTTGGTTTTCACAAAAAATCTTACCAAATCAAACTTAATTTTTTTCTCAGGGACACTCCATTTTGACCTTGATTTGCACTGTCAAAATGGTTTGTAACACGTTTTTGACATCTAAGACACTTTGCGCACTTAGTATAAGCAGTAAATGTCCATCAGCTACTGTTACGACTTCAATAGTTGAAGTCTGATTAATCATATGTAAACCAGTCAATCACTAGACGACCTAGGGCAATGAAATTGGTTATAGTGAGAACAACAAAGGATCTAATTTTTGATAATCCTTCTACTTTACAGTTTCTTGTCCTCCTCTGGTTTCTGACGTTTTTTGGACGACCTCTCCTTCTGACCACTTTAACTTCAACAAGAAGCTCACCATGGCTGCATCTACAACGTTTGTAATGCACGTAAACATAATATCTTGCACTTGCAAGTGAGACTAGGGTAAACACTACTTTCGGCCACTCTACTAGTACTGTAGTTTAGAATTGAAAATATGTCGCATAAGTGATTAGTTTGGAATAGGCAATGGACTTTCACCCAAGTTAAGTTGACACAAACAGGGGAAGAACTTATTTTCAAATGAAGATTGTTCTGCAAGATGTGAACCGATGAATATAAAAGTTGTATTCTTTGAAAGCTCTAATACAAAATTATAGTTGAAAGCAATGTTAGTATTTTTATCGCTTTCCAGATACTATGATGATCAAAACAGCCACTAATTTCTGTACCATCGACTCAAAATTTTAGGGCTAAAAAGGGAAACCTTACGTAAAGTTTCAATCAACTTTATATTGATTATAGTACCTGTTATATATTTCTTTATACTTTAAGTTGGGGCCTATTTTTACAAGAATTTCAATTTCTTTTTCTTTTCAGAAATTAGTTAATAAAGGTTTTGTTGCACAGCAACTGGTGGCCGTGAAAAGCGACACTTTCGCACTTATGGTGAGATACTCCATTTTAAGTTAAAACATGGAATAATAAAATATATATTCTTAACAATTATTTGTAAGGTACTTTATAATTTTGTTACGTATTACAATTGCGAATAGCCTAAAACTGAGTTAAATTGTACTTTGGATTTAGAAGTTAAATAAATGCCGATATGTATCCAATTTATAATATTTGCCAACAAGATTGATAAACAGATTTTTCTTTCTTAATACAAATATATTTTAATGTACAACTAATAATACAATTTTACAATAACAGTTATTACAAATAGTTATTACGAACAATGATTTTATACACAAAAGTTTCACAAACGTACAAGCAATATAAAGTCTTCTTTCTGGTCTGGAATTTCCTTGATATCTTATCGAAGGTTCACGATGGGGAATGTTAATTTGGAGTTGACGTAGATACAATTCACTTAATAGGGAGCTAGTTAGCTCTGTGGTCTTCACTTATCACACGCCACGTTTCCGTAAAAGTACTAATGTCCGATGTGAATCCACTGAAGTTAAATGATTTGTAACATTCCAAATTTATAAATGTTCCTGGTCAACTATCTTACGTTACCCAGTTAATAAGCGTTATAATAATCACAGTTATAGCTTCCGAAGTTTATAGCAAACCAATAATAAATACTCTTTTTTTGGCGCAGCGCGTTGGTTATATTTATAGGCGTGCGGAGAGGTTTTCGAAATTTCAGTTTACGTAGCAATACTGACGCAAACGCTAGCGTTTACTTACACACATATATTGTTGATTCTTACACTAGAGAATCTTCTAGAACTTTAGAGAATAGGCGGGAATTTCGCAACAGATTTAACAGTACAAGTTATGTACACTTCTAAATATAAGTTTAATTTAAACAAACATCGATATTAAAATAAATATGTAATAGTAAACCCGTCACAATTTTGATTCTCTTCAGGGAATAAAAAGCAGTAAATGTTCAGTTATTTTTAAGTCCTAACAATTTATCACCCTTAAGATGACAAAACTATGAGTCTAAAAACCTTAAGTGGCTTAAAAGATGACCAAGGTTCTCAAAAATTGCGTGGATAGGTTTTATTGTAACAAATTGACATCACCAAACAAAAGTGTATTACATTTTCAACAGGGGAACTGACGACAATAATGAAAGTAGGTATTTGTGTATTTTATATTTATGACAAAGCTAGTAAGGCTATCTACCACTGTATCTAATTTTGACCTACTGACCAGTGATAAGACAGCCAGTCAGCAACATCCTACCACACACCATCCACGCCAAGGGACTGAATGTTACTCATATATTGCACCCATAGTTAAAATACGGGGGAATATTTTTGTGGTACCGCAGAGATTCGAACCTGGCTCGCCAGCTCCGAAATACAGAGCTCTATCTGAGTGCACTAAAGTAGAAAATGGGAGTTTAACTTGAAGAGTTCCCCTATGCTGATGTATATTAAGTTCTTAAAACGTCCCTTATTAGCTAGTATGTTAACTCTTTAGTTGTATCTTCCATGGATAGGAAACCTTGAGTTGTAGTATTATGAGCCCTAAATAATGGCTACTCGTTACTAAATTATTCTGACAAATTTCCAGTTAAATCCACAAACTTTTTGAAGGGCTTAAGTGGTTAGCTTAAACATTTTGTTTTTGTTGTTGTCGTATAAGCGCAAAGGTACACAATGTTACTTGCGCTCTGTCCACCGAGGGAGATCGAACCCCGAATTTTTGCATTATACGTCTGTAAATGTACCACTGACCTAATGGGAGACTAATATGTTTGGACTAACACGTGTTTGAGTATGTGCTCATATATTTGAAAGTAGGTCGTTAATACTAGTATAATTTATTATTATTTCTTGGTGTCGAGTATATCTTCCTGTTCTAGAATTAAAATGTGGCTAAGGTTTAAAAAAAAGAAAGGTTAGCAATTACTACTCCCCACACAAAAGAACAGTCAGGGACATCATGGATGGTACTCTAAGCACATTCATTTGTGCTGTTACTTACTAGGCAGAGGGTATAAAATTTGGATGATTACACCCTTTCGAATGAAAATAAAGCGAATCAGAAGAGCAAATTAATCATTCCTAATTAGGCCTACTTAACAAAAAAACAACTGAGAATATATACAGTCACTCTGTTCTCATACAGTTAAAATAAATTAAGTCTCTATAGTTTCAACATTGGCATAGGTCAATGTACTAACGTAACATTGGCTAGTTGGATGTACAATTATTATATGTTTGGCACCAGGGTCATACCAGCAAATATATCATACTGAGAATCCCTGACTAAGTCTAATCGGAGGTTGAGTAATATTAATAACACAATTCACACAGAAAACATTAGTTCGGTCCTGCAACTGTTCATACTCACTTGATCTTCTGTATTGGCAGTAGAAAGATACAACAAGACATAAGGCATGTTTTGATAGAGAGACCCTATTTCTTCTATGGTTGCTTTGTCACCACTAACTTGCTTAACTAGGAGACTCTGGAGAGGCTAGGGAAGACAAAAATGAGAAAATTAATTAGTACGGAAAAACTAGGACGATGCTTAATACTTAAGTCTAAACTATGTTTACACTCACGTTTAAATTATGCTTGGCAGGCCTAGATGTATATACTCAAGTCTAAATAATATTTGTTAGGCCTGGCTATGGATGGATATACAGTAATGAAAATAATTATACAAACACACAAGTGATACACAACGAGTAATGACATCTAGATGGCGAATTTATTAATGGTACAAAACATTAATTATCTCAGAAAATACAAGATAAAAGTGAATAAAAGTTTTACAATGCACTCATATTTTGTGTACGAGTCCATTGCTCTACACAGAGCATTACATCGTGTTTTCATGTTGCCATGCAACTTATCACTGTACAGTTATGGAATATTGTTCAATTGTCCAGTATTACTCTCCAAGATACAGCCAAGTTATTTGGTCGACTGTATGTCTACATAAAACCCATTCGTCCTCAACAATTTCATGACCGGACTTTGTGCAGTCCAAACAAAGGTTTTGAAAGTTCCACCGGCCTCTTTACAGTAAAGATATCGTTACACACCATATGCAGTTCGGAATAACACAGGCCTGCGAATTTAAACTACATAAAAGTTGTTTTGGTTTTAATAACGGATCTTCCATATTTCAGCTACGCAGATTTTGAAAATAATATTCATATTTTTTTTTATCACGTAAGGATTTTGTACAAATCGGGAAGAACAAAAAACTCTTACTTAGATCAAATTATTATTTCGTTTACCACAATAAACATTTTTTATTATTATATTTGTTAACAAAAATACAAAAAAACTGAAGGGAAGAACATTGATGTCAAACGAATATGCATCCTCATTCATCCCGATTTTTTTTTGTGTGAACTCTATGTCTTTTAGTCTCAAAACTGTATGTTGTGGTCTTTCTTTTATGTACGTGATCGAGAAAAATGGATATCATTTTCGGATTTGGTGTATAGGAATTACTATAGAACACTTAAACATTTCAAGACAATAAAACAATCGCAGGCCTGTGTAATCATCGTGCTGGAAAATGAATCTCAATACGAGTTGTGTTCATGAGAGAATGGCTTAATAGATGAGAATCCGCCGTTCTTGTCAGCACTCGGGATGTCAGTTTTTGTGTAGATCACCACCACCATCATCGATTTAGAAGCATTCACACACTTGTACCAATCCCCCATTATGCTTTAGGTGCTGTAACACATTGACTATGATACTGTTATCTTCTGCACGCGCCATCGAAGAAACTGTCGTTGATTGTTGCCAAACAACTGAACATGGATTCATCGGTAAAGAAAACTTTGCTCATTCCACTGTTTGAAGCCCATTCCAACCTTTTGGTTTGTTTAACTCTTCTCAACGGTGATTTTCGAGCAACTGAACGTCCGCTAAGACAATTTCAAGCTATCCTTTATTTGCAGTAAAGTTGCTGGCAAAATCTGTATCCAACTGTCCTCTGTCTCATAAAGAAAACACCCTGAGATACTTAACATTGCTTTTGGAGAGTTTCAATTTTCTACCTTGATCAATTCCATCAACAATGTTAGTGTCACATACCTTCCTAAGTCATGTATACAGCTGCTACTAAAACACGGAGTTTTGCCACAAATTTTTGTATTTTATTTATACACGCTTGTAATGCGGTACTTCAGCCTTGGGAGTCATGACTGGATGTAAACTGCTATTACTGGGCATAGAATGACTCCCTGTACTTTTATAGGTTTCATTCTAGTGTGGATGACAATCAAACATACGTTAAAATATCGACACGTGCAGTTCATTTTCGCACAAAAAAGCGTGTGAAATTTCCATCGTATATTATTTTACACACCTTTTCCTCGCCGTTTGCATAATTATTTCCAGAACTGTATAAATTAAAGGCCAAATAATGAACGTCTGGCTATAAACACATACTCAAGTTTAAATGTTGTTGACAGAGCTTACTATAGATATATACTCAAGGTGAAATTATGCTTGGCAGGCCTGGCCACATACATAAAAGATTAATTAAGAATTGGGATTTTAAAAACCTGCAAGTGGGGATCCTAAAAAAGTAAGGAAACAAGGCTGGAGATACTGTAGACATTATTTACTCACTACAAACCCTTATTTTGGCTCCATACTGTTACCAAGAAATACCTTTGGTGGAGGCAAAATATGGAGTTGTAGTTTGAGTTATGTCTACAGTATCTCCAGCCTTGTTTGCTTACTTCTTTTTTTACAATCCTTTTTTGCAGGTTTTTAAATTTCCAATTTTTTATTCATCTTGTTTGCAGGCTTTTGTTGTGCTTAACTATGGGCAAAGGATTACTTCATATGGTAGCTAAATTTATACATTGTAATGATGATAAACATAGCTAGTAGCTAACTGATACAGTTCATGATGATTTACTGTAGCTATTGACTATTTGATCGCATTAGTTCGAGATGTACAAGTTACAACAGGAGATTATCATAAAGATTTGTTTGATAATATAATGAGTATTTATAGTTTATGTGTAACTAAATGCTCTATATATAATGCATAGCAATGGGCAAATATATGCCAAGACTAGGACACAACCCCCAATATGGGCGTAGAAAATTTTATCAGTAGAAAAGTAGCCTTTTCAAATAAAACATATACGTCTAAAACATCGCTTTAGATAAACTTTTAGGTCTCTTAAAGTAATTATTCTACGAATGTGTGTAATAAAATTTATATTATGTGTACTGATTTTTTTTACTCCCTCACTTCAAAAATAATATAGGGGTTGGCTCTCTGAAGACACCAATTGTATAGTGTACAAAGCATTGAGTATCTAAATGTTACAGGCATCTAATGTGCACCTATTATTTGCTGGTAATTCCTGTTTCACTCTGTATTTAAGCTTTTTTAAAAAAAAACATAAGAAAGCTAATTTCGAGGAGTAATGATAACATCGTTTACACTATCATTATGATGTGTTTTAGTTTATGTAAAATATAAAAGAAACAAATCGACTTTTCAATACCACTACGACCTTCGCAGTACTTAATTGGTATTTTACAAAAGATTAGGGTGCAATGTATCATACCGTTTTAGTTGTAGGGTGGCAAGAGAATAATAATAAGAATTACAAACGGCCATTTTGAGCAGATTTTCTTTTCCTTGTAAGCCTAACAAGCGTGCTTTTTATGCCTTTTTATATACGTACAACCTTAGCAGTCAATTGAATCTTTACTGTTTGAGGTGCTTTTTGCTCGAACGTTCTCTTAGGGTTTTGTGCAATTTCTTGCGACCACTATTATGAACCACTGTCGTGGTTCACGACATTCAAGTTTAAATTGTTTCTTGGCGGGCCTGGCTGTAGATGTATACTCAAGTTTAAATGTTGCTTGACAGGCCTGACTATAGATATATACGTTTGAGCTACTTCTTGTAGTTACTGCTAATTGAGAACTTTGAAAATTTTGACAACGAAGCTTTACGTTCGATAATTTAGTAAGCCACATACTATTGTAATGCTTTCTTTTACACACCATATGGATCTGGTTTCAGGGATAAAAATTAACTTCCCGCTAGGGGTGCGACAATATGACCCTCTTAGTGGCTTAATCTTCCCATTTGATAATAGATTCTCTCGCGAACCGACTTCGCTCTATTTCTGTAACAAGGTCTCCCTCGATTTCTTTCCCAGGCTATAAACAACTTTCCATTATTGCTTTTACTGATGATACCAGGGTTATCATTGGACAAAACATGGAATTTCCAGATGTTGGGTCTGAGACTATTTTCCCCTAATGTCACATTCAAAATGCAATACGTTTTAAAAGCAAGTGGCATATGGTTTGAAGCATAAACAAATAGACTACACGTTGAGTTATAATTAAATCATTGTTAGTATTAAGTTGATGGGGATTTTTCTTCGCTTTGGCTAGACAAAAATACACTGGGTTGACTTATAGAATAATTTTCAAACAATCTTTATTAACTGCGTCTTATCCCCCCCTCCCTTTCCCCTTGGTGGTAAATGAAATTGTGGCTATAACTTGAATAAATTATATGAAACTTTTCTCAATCTAAACAAAATATATTTTTTTACACAT